TACTGACGAATGGATTAAGAAAATATGATATTTATACACAATGGAATTTTATGCAGCCATGAAGAAGAACAAAATGTTATCATTCACAGGTAAATGGATGGAATTGGAGAACATCATTCTGAGTGAGGTCAGCTGGCCCAAAAGACCAAAAATTGTATATTCTCCCTTAGATCAAGGGCAAACACAACAAGGGAATTGGACTTTGATCACATGATAAAGCGAGAGCACACAAGGGAGATATGAGGATAGGTAAGACACCCAAAAAACTAGATAGCATTTGTTGTCCTCAACGCAGAGAAACTAAAGCAGATACTGTAAAGCAACTGAGACCAATAGGAGAAGGGGATCAGGAACTAGAGAAAAAGTTAGATCAAGAAGAATTAACCTAGAAGGTAACACACATGCACAGGAAATTAATGCAAGTCAACTCCCTGTATAGCTATCCTTATCTCAACTAGCAAAAACCCTTGTTCCTTCCTATTATTGCTTATATGCTCTCTTCAGCAAAATTAGAGATAAGGGAAAAATAGTTTCTGCTGGGTAGCAAGGGGGTGGGGAGGAGAGGGAGGAGGGGGGGGTTAGGGAGGGGGTGGGAGAAGAGGGGAGAAATGACCTAAACATCATATGCACATATGAATAAAAATAAAATAAAAAGAATAGGTGATGCTGGCTCAAGTGTCATAGTCACTCAAAAGGCAGAGATCAGGAGGATCACAGTTTGAGGCCAGCCCAGGAAAAAAGTTCACCAGACCCAATCTCAACCAATGGTGCATGTTTGTCATCCCAGCTACACAGCAAGCATAAATAGGAGGATTACAGTACAGTCTAGTTTGGACCTAAAGCAAGACCCTACCTCAAAAATAACCTAAGAGGCTCAAGTAGAGAGTGCCTGTCTAGCAAGCGAGGCCCTGAGTTCAACCCCCAGTAATGCCAAAAAAAAAAAAAAGGTAATGTTTACTTGTCTTAGTAAATTCAGCCCAGTTTGTGCTCTCCTGACCAGTATTTCTGCCTAATTTGATCTAACCTTGATTCCCTTCAGTAATGGCTTCAAAATATGCCCAAAAATCATGTGGCATTCCTTCTTTCTAACGGTAGATCCTGATTTCCTTCAGTGTGGACTAAACTTAGCAACTCATTTCTAAAGAACTGAATTTGGTGGAAATGGTGAGGTAAGAAGGCAGTGAGGTCTTCTCCTCTTTCTTTTGAGTCACTCAATCTGGGAAAATAAGCTAATTCAAGCAACCCTATGGTGGGACACACATGGAAAGCAACTGAGGCTTTGCTCCAATAGTTTTCTACCAATAGTCACATGTTATGGGTAAAATTGTGTCTTCCCCCAAAAAAAAGATATGTTGGAATCTTAACTCCTTTAACCTCAAAGGTAAACTGTAATCCAATATGACTGGATTGCCCAAATAAGGAGGGGAATCTGGACACAGCATACACACGAAGAAAACAGCATATGGAGGTGAAATTGCAAATGAGATGTGAAATACAAGTCAACACCAAAGTTTGCAGCTTAACCACCAAAATCTAAGAGAGAAAGGGAATTGATACTTCCTTGTGGTTGTCAGAAACAACCAAGCCTGCTGACATCTTTATCTTGTACTTCTAGCCTCCAGAACTGTGAAACAATAAAAATCTGTTGTGCACCCAGTTTTGGGTACTTTGTTGCAGCTACTGTAGGAAACTAATAGACCATGCAAATGAGCCATTAGTAGCAGTTCTTCCAAGCTCTGTCAAACTATCAGATGATTACAGTCGAGGCCATTGAACACAAGTTCTTTGTACGCCCTAAGCCACAGCCACGAGCTGAACAGCTTCTGAATTCCTGTCCCACAGAAATTATGATGTAACTATTTGATGTTTTAGTTCTTTTATGAACTGAATTGTGTCCTACCCTCCCCAAGACAAATTCATATTTGGAAATCTGACAAAGCTTAAAAGAGACAACAGAGAAAAATATCTCCAAGTATGAAAATTTCATTCAGGTGTATCCAAAGACAGAAGTGTAAGAGAAGGTTTTATTCACAAAAAGGCAAACATTCACATCAACTGTTCAGACACAAAATTCACTGGTCTTAGAGGCCCAGGGTAAGAGCTGGTACCAGTTCATTGATGGAGGTGCCATTGCTGGACAAGTGTTTTCTGTCAGAACACCACATCTGTATTGATGCAATCTTAAAGAATATTAAAGCTGGAGGTGTGGCTGAAGTGACAGAATAACCGCTTCACAGGTGCAAAGCCCTGAGTTCAAACCCTAGTGCCACAAAAAAAAAAAAGACAAGAATATTAAAGGTAAATTTGTTACTTAAATCTGTGCATACTTCATAGGGTGTGTAGAACAATAAGTAATTTCTTGTGGGGGTTTTTAGAAAATCCAAAAGATAGGGCTTCTCTCCTAATTTTAATTTTATCTTCTAATTTTATTTGGGGCTGACAAATACAATTTCAACTTATACACGGCCTAGCCCTCAATGTGGCTGTGTTTGGAGATAGGGACTTTAAAGACATAATTAAGGTTAAATGAAATTATAAGAGTGGAGGGCCTAATCCAATATGACTTGTATCCTTAAAAGAGAAGGAAGAGACAACAGGGATGAATGTGCCCGGAGAAAATGCTATTTGAGCACATAGAAGACAGCCATTTGCAAACCAAGGAGAAATCAAGCCTACCAATGTCTTGGTCTTGGACTGACCGCCTTCAGAATTATGAGAAAATAAATTTCTGTCATTTAAGTCACTCACTTGTGTTTTGTTATGGCAGCCCTAGCTGACTGCTTCAGCTGCTAAATGTGGGGATAACTTGTCTCACTCTATCTCCCGACAAACACACGAAAATTCCATCTCCAGTCACCACCCAAAACTACCTCAACCTTTTAACCCCAGTGTATGCAAATTAGGTAAGTGAGAAAAGTTTCTGTGAACAAACTGGGTGTATTGCAGCTTGATTCCCTCCCAGACTGTGGAAAACATGTCTGTGGAGTGAGACAGGAGTCTTCCCTTGAGTGACCTCTAAGTTTTAAGAGAAGGTAGTAAGACATTTATTTTAGACTGTGACTGTGAGCAAGATCATAAAGATGAGAGGAAAAGAAACGTCTGTTTCTAATGCAGCTGAGAACTGTCTATTAAAAATAATCACTGCCTTCCGCCTGCCCTCGGTACCAGCTGGCATCTTCCTATGCTGTGGACATTGTAGTATATGAATTGCCAACTCCTCTTTCTTCTCAAGAACAGGGAGTTGTCTCGTTTCTCTTTTTAAACTCATTGTGGTAAGGATTCAATAAATGTTTGGAGAACAGATCTGCCCTTCAGTCAGTGCTCAGGCAGCAGAGAGGCCTGAGTCATGCCCATTTGTCTTGGTCCTGGGGAGAAGGAGTCCTGCTGCTCTTGACAAAGACAAAACCTAGCCCCTCTAGGATCCATTGTACTTTCAACTCGAAGCTTCAAACTGGCTGGCAAGCTCTTCCCCGCTTATCCCTTGCCAGTCCCTTTCCCACTACCATGGCGATATTCCGCCTTGCATTTTCTAATAACAACCTCCTTTACCCCTGTATCTTTCCTGATGGGTCACCTCTCTGCGGCCTTACCTGGCACGAATCATCATCCAGCTTATGATCATTCAGCGCCCCATCCTATCCAATTCCAGGACAAGCTTAATAGGAGATGCCGCTGTTTAAAGGTTGAAAACCTGCCTCTAAAGAGTTGATGGCCTTAAATCTTCTTAGCTTTGGGTATGCAGAGGCTCCAAGTGTGTGCTGTGACGGGCTGACTCTGTCAGCTGCCTATCCAATGCTCAGACATCAGGCTGCAGACAGTGGGGTGACTCCTGGTTAGCCATGGAGCTAGTCTCCAAATCCTCACCCTCCAACGCTAGCAAAACCCTGGGACCTGGCCTGTGAGAGTTGACCTCAGGTATGGTGGTCAAGCAGGTACACTTCAAATTTCATTAAACTTTATTTTCCACAGAGGCCTGCTTCCATCCTAATTAAGCAGCTGTACTTCCTCAAGAGGTTTGGTCCATGTACCTTGTCTGTCAAATGTGTTCCCTGTGAGGTATTCACGTTACTCTTCTCATGAGAAAAATTCTCTTTGTATGGTAATAAACCAGATGATTCCTGAAATCATTCTTTGGTTATCTCCTTATTCCACCATGTGCAGTACATTTCCAACCTGATTCTTACATAATGAAAAGTCAGAAAATTGCAGGGGAGAGGAGACTCTAAAATTGAGAAGTTCAGATCAGTTCATCAAAAATTTGTGTCAACACTCCCCTTTCACTCTACCATGGAGAAAGTGTTGCTGGGCTTCTTCTGGGTCGTCTTGGTAAGCTGTCAGGACAAGTTCAGTGAGTTGCCGTTAGTTTTATTAATGAAAAATGAGAATTCAGCACAGCAGTGGTCTGAGCCTGGAAAGGAGGCCAGAGATCAGCAGCACACAAGAATGCAGGGGTGCCGCCCCGGCTCGGCGCCCCTTGTGGAGCCCGCTGCAATGGACGGAAGTGACCGCCAGATGGCGCTCAAGGATTAGGATGGTGGCGAACATCTGGTCCCCTCAAACACTCCATCTGCAAGGTCTGAGGCCAGCGGGGGAGTGGTGTTGCAGCGACTCCCAACTGCAAAGAGTCGCGCTGACTTTGAATGGATTCAGGTCCTGAGCCAACAATGCATCCCCGCCTCACCCCCTGCCACGCTCTGCGTCCCGAGAGCCTTGACCCTGGACAGAAGGGGCGTCCGGTGTCCGGCTGCCATAGGCTGTGCAGCGGGGCGGGAGAGGGCGCGGCCTGGCACGGTCCGGACTTTGCCTCTCCTGCGTCCTGCCCCAGGCCTATTTAGGACTCAAAGACCAAGTGCATTCTGCAGCCTGGGAGTTGGTGCGCGGGGGACAACTAAAGGGGACGTTGCCACAGGCAGGAGTTAGGAAGCAAGTTTTAACCGGACTGTTTGGCTTTTTCAGGTCTGAGCAACCGAAGAAGCAGCCGGTGCTTGACTAGCAGAACCATGAATTACTCACGGTTCCTCACTGCCAAAAGCATGGCCAGAAAACCCTCTCCCATCCGAACCACGGGTAAGAAACAGGTGGCGCCCCTCCTGCCCAGGTGGGGCTTTCCTGATAGAGTCCCCAGAACTGTTCCTTTCCAGGTCACCGCCTGGGTGCATACATTCATTCAGCTGCCGGGGCTCCCTGTGAGACAGGCTCAGTCAGCAGAATGAGTAGGCTCAGTCCTTTGCTCTCAAAGAACTTTGGCTGGAAAAGAGGACAGGGCAAGCAGTTGATTATTTCAGCTGGAGGGGAGGAGGAGCAGCCAGAGGGTCTGCTGCCTGCTGGGTCCTGCAAGGGAGGCTGTGGAGGAAGACTGGGAAGTTAGGGAGAGCCTGGGAAATGGAAGAAAAAGGCTTACCCAAGAAACCTGCAGGGAGGTAAGAAGTGAGTGGAGGAAGACCTTCTGTGGCTATCCCTTGCTTATTCCAAACGTCTCTACCTAGGACATCTCCATTCTTCAGTCCCTTCCCCAAGCTCAAAAAAAAAAATGTATTCTTTATTTTAGACTAGCATTCTGGCTTGGCCTATTTGGGCTGCTATATCAAAAATGCCATAGAGTGGCAACATAGAAGCAACAAAATTTCTTTCTCACAGTTCTATAATTTGAGAAATCCAACGTTAGGGACCAGCAGAGTCCACCTGGTGAGGGCCATTGTTTATGGGTGGCCATTTGTTGTGTCCTCACACAATGGAAGGGGGTAACTTGTGTCCTCACATGGCAGAGGGGGACAAGGGCATTCTCTCCTGCCTCTTTTTAAGGACATTAATTCTACCCATGAGAGTTGAGCCCCCATGATCTAATCCCCTCCCAAAAGCCCCACCTCCTAATATTTTCACATTGGGTATTAAGTTCCAACATAGGAATTTGGGGGATACCGACATTCAAACCATAACACTTTCTATTACTAGAAATTGTTAAATGTTATAATTGACTGTGCATACTGAACTATTTCTGTTTATAACAATCTTCAGTGAAAGTATTTCTTCTTTTCCATGTTTATCATAGTTGATATAATGACCAAGTCACCAAACACACTCATCTCCTTGGCTCCTGGATTTCCAAATCCAAACACATTCCCCTTTAAGAGTGCTACTATCACTGTGGAAAATGGAGGTACCATCCAATTTGATGAAGAGATAATGAGTAGAGCACTTCAGTATTCTCCAAGTTATGGGTAGGTTATCAATAGGTAATGCAGTTGTATTGGCTCACTTTCGTATCCCATTGATAAAGTGACTTGTCTTTTTTTAATGAGGTGGTGTATGATTAGGGAGATTTGGGGCAGAACTTTCAAAAACTACTTAAAAGTAAAAGGGATATTAAATGCTTACCACTTCTTTCAACGGAAAGCAGGAGATGCTTCTAGAAGGAAGTACCATCTGAGCTGATGGTGAAATTGAAAAGATGGTTAGGTGAAGAAGCATATTGGGAGAAAGGAGGAAATGCATGATTCAGGAAACAGCAATTTTTAAGTCCCTGTGTAATTTTCCAATAAGTAACTTTTAAAGTCCAATAAGTTGACTTTTAAACAGTCAACTATGCAAATACATTGCTTTCATAGGTTCAAATTCTTTAATTTCTGAAAGGCAAGATGAAACACGTATTTTAAGATTTTCATTAGCTGCCTTCTTCAAATAATAAAAGATAATTAGGAAGTCTATGAATTATACGTTCTTACAAGAATTCTTTGTAATCAGGCTTGGTCACACATACCTGTAATCCGAACACTCCAGAGACTGAAGCAGGATTGTGAGTTCGAGGCCAGCCTGAGGTACATAGCAGTGTGTAAGACCCTGTCACACCAAAAACAAACAAACAAACAAACAAAAAAACCTTCTTTGTGCTGTGATTGAAGAGTATATTGGGATATATGTTACATGAATTGTGTTCTATGTAAGCTATACATAGGCTTTTCTTTCCTTGAGGCAAAGAATTTTCTGACTCTGTACCTCTAGGTAATCTACAGAAATCTCCATAAGGAGAACAAAAAACCTTTTATGCAGTGAATGCTATAGTGACTTCAGGCCTTGAAATAAGAAAGATATGCATTTAAATCTCAGCTCACTGATTCAATGATTGACTTTATGTGAATTTCTGACTGAATTTATGTGAATCTCCTAATATCTAAATCTATTGCCTCATTTTTTAAATATTGAAACTGGCAAAAAGTATTTGAAGGTTTTTAAGTGGTATAATGGGTTTGGTATTATGTACTACTTATTTCCTATCTGCTGTTACTGTGATAATACTACCATAAGTTTTAAAAATACATAAATTCAACGTAATTCCAGACTCAGGAAGCAGAGCAGGAAGACTAAGAGCTTGAGGCTGCCTGAGCTACATATCGAGCTCCAGGCCAGCCTAGGCTATATAGCAAGACCCTGTCTCAAAAAAAATAATAAATAGATGATAGATAGATAGATAGATAATTGATACAAAAATTAAATAAATAAGATGCATCTCTGCTTTAGAATTCCAGAGCTTGTGTCCTGGTTAAAACAGTTACAAATAAAATTGCATAATCCTCCCACTGCCCACTGTCCACCCAGTCAAGGGCAAATGGATTTATGTATCACATCTGGCTGCCAAGATGGTCTTTGTAAGGTAAGAATGACAGAAAAAGTAGCATGCATGCAAAATCAGGTATGTTCCTAAATACTGTATTCTCTCATAACCACAAGAGGATCATGTTTTGTAGATTAATGGTAGTCTTGTCTTCAACTAGAATTATAAACAGGGAACTCAAAGATAATATGGATATGGTAAGGGTATATATATGGGGGAGGGGAGAGTATACACAAAAGCCAAGTAGAAATACTTTAGGTTTATGTAATATTTCCCTCTACTTTGCCTTATTGTGAACAAGAAGACTTTCAAAAATTATCTGCTATTAATCATTACCAACCTGATTTTTCTTAAATACAGAGCATATGATCAATATGGAACTATAAGTCATTAAACCAAGATTCTCAATAAGGAAAAGTACAATGTCGACAAAAATTTTATGAGTACTGCTTAATTTCATTTGACCCGAAGATTCAGGCTACCTTTAATCTCTGCCAATAGCTATAAAATTTCAGTATGAATTAGCCCAATATGCTTCTGTAGAGGGCCCGTCCTCACACCCCTGAGATGAAAGTGTCATTTCTTTATACAGCTATTTATGGAATGTCTGTGCTTACCCCTTCTTGTGATTTTTTTCTCCCTGTTGGCTGTATGTTCTAGATTTATATTCCCCAACTTACGATGTGGCCCAGCCTGATGCCCATTGTAAGTTGAAAATATGGCAAGTCAGAAATGCATTTAATACACCTAACCTGCTGAACACTGTAACTTAGCAACACAAGTGCACGTAGCATTGGTTGTTTACCCTTGTAATTGCATGGCTAACTTGGGAGCTAATATTGACTTGCATCCTCTGAGAGTATCATACCATATATTGCTAGCTCTGGAAAAGATCAATATTCAAAATCCAAAGTGCGTTTTTTAATTAATGCGTATTGATTTCCCATCATAAGGTGGGAAATTCTTAAGCCATCTGGACATGTTTGTCTCTAGGTTAGTTGTTTCTTTCCCTCTTCTTTCTCTCCCTCTTCCCACCCTCTGTCAGTTATTCCATCTGCTTCCATCCTGAGTACTCCAGAAATAAAACAACACTGAGTAGCTTTCACAATAAAGACCATACCTCTGGTCACTTCATTTTTTTTTTATTTCCTTTATTTTTCATGGGTAAAGATTCTCTCTATTCAGTCTTCAAGTATAAATTAAAACATAGATTTCATTTATCTTTATCTTAAATCAGAGCAGCTTCCTTTTTCATCTTTTTCTATTTTGTGAAAACTGTAATCTGGTTCACTTTCAGGAATTTTAATTAAATTACTATTACAGAATAATATATAGTAATAAAATACTTTTTAAAGATTTTTAGAAATAATTGGGAAGTAGAGATCAGGAGGATCATAGTTTGAGGCCAGTCCAGGAAAAAAGTTAGTAAGACCCCCATCTCACCCAATAAGCCACATGTGGTGTTGCACACCTGTCATCATAGCAGCATGGGAGGCATAGATAGGAAGATAATGGTCCAGACTAACCCTGGGCAAAAATGCAAGACTCTATCTGAAAAATAACTAAAGATTAGCAAGTACCAGACCCTGAGTTCAAACCCCAGTACTGTCATGAAAAAAAAAAGTTTTGCAGAAACTAAAAATTTTTTTCCTTCCTCTTTTTGTATTAGGAAAAGTTAAAGAATTAACAACTGTTTGAGTTTTTGCTTGAAGAGAAACTTTGTGATTCTACAGATTGATACTTAAGAAGTCCTTTTCCATAAGTTACTTTCTTAGCTATACTGTGAAGTTTTTCTTGTAGAAAGTAGCTCTAAACATTTTAGTCTTTTTCTGTTATAATACCTCCATAGAAAAGGATAACAGCATAAGTGCCCAAACAAATCAATAACTCATTACTTACAGACATGTTTATTATTACAGGGGCTTGAGTAGGAGTCTGGTTTAATATTTCTTCTACTCTGTTCTCCTGGATAAATGTTGTTTAAGGATCCTGAGTTTCTATCTGCATCTATTAAACAGTTTTACTGGATGAAAAACAGCTCTCTTTTTAGTTTAGGATATTTGACATTTGTAGGTTCCCTAGTTGACATGGGAAATGTACATAATCAGGTTTTTGTATGATCTATTGGTAATACACATACCACCCAAGTGATTTCTTTGGTTACAGGAGTCCAATGAAGCCTGAGTTAATTAGGAATTTTTTGGAGGATCATACCACTTGTCATAAGATGTCAGAAGCTTCATAGAAAAAGACAAATTGAACATTACAGGCTAAATCAGGGAACAAAAGTAAAATCTACTCAGTTGAAAATGGTTCTTTTTTGTCATGAGATGTAGGTCGTTATAATGATAGAAGGGCTTCAGGTGAGGATTTTGAAACATCACAAGATAAAAAAGGATTATTGTATAACTTATTACACTCTTTCAATTTAGACTGGGGAGCAAAACCATTGCCTGAGACTAATGATGTCAGTGGTTATCATATTGTCCTCACATCTCCTTGTTATGCTTGACCTCTAAATATCCTTTAGCACTAGTGACTGCCCAGTCCTTTTTAAAATGCCCTCCTCTGGCTCTCTCTTCACCACACTGTGTAGCGCTCCTCCTGCCCCCTCGTGTGGCCTCCTTCACAGTGTCCTCCTCTGCTCAGCCATTATTTATTGGAGTTCCTTAAGCCTCAGTCTTAGAGTACCCCTCTCCTTAATCTGTGCACTTTGCCTAAATAGCTCATTCAGACCTGTATCATCAAGCATATGCCAGTGACTTGCAAGCTTTTTCTAAATTCTTTTGTCCATCTGTCCACCTGACACCATTGCAGGATATTTAAAGGCACCTCACACAAAAACAGCTCATCATCACCTTGCTCAGATATGGATGACTTTTTGGTGGTATGCTTTAGTGAATTGCACTGCCTGCACAATAAATCTAGTCTGGCAGCCAGAAACCTACATTCATTCTTGACAACTCTTCTCTATCACTTCCCTGTAGTTCATAATCGTGTTCTGTTGGTTTTCATTTCCTTGATACCTCTCAGTTCTTACCTATAGTCCCACCACTCTAGTTCACACTACCCTTATCTGTCCTCAGGCCTACAGCAGTATCTTCCCAACAATCCCGAAAACTTCCCAAACTTTTCACATATGTTCTCTCTCATCTCTTGCTCTTTCTTACTGCAAATCGTTCCAAAATTTGCACCTGATAATATCACTAACTCATGCCCAACCTTTCTTAAAATTCTTACTCCCTTCACCTGAATGCCTATATGATCTGTCCACTTCTGCCTGGTCTCTCTCCATCCTCTTCTTTACAGTCCCAGAATCCTTTCAGTTTCTCAAAATGTATCTATTGTCACCCTGTCTTTCCCCCATACCAACTCATCACTTCATCAAGGAAGTCTATCTGAATCCCAAGTCCTGCAATGAGCTATGATGACATAGTGCATTAGCAGTCCTCACCACGGTTTTTAATTATTTATCTGTTTAGGAAGTTATTCAGTAACTCCATAAGGACTGGCCTGACTTATGCTAGACATTTAACCTATTTTCAAAGAAGCAATAAGAGGAACAAATGAATTTTAGGAGCCAAAAGTTTTTTTGTTTTTTTTTACTTAATACTAGAACTGAACTTAGCCAATTGTAGCTTGAGAGTCATTTAAGTTTGTAAATAAAGTTTTATTGGGACTCAACTCCACCCATAATTTGTATATTGTCTATAACTGCTTCCAATAAAGGCAGATATGCATAGCTGAAACAGAGACACTATAGATCAATATCTGGCTCTTTTACAAAAAATTTTCCAGTTCCTGTTTTGGAGTCCTATGAGCTCAAACTACAGAGGGGGTTCTGAGGATAGGAACAATGCAACCCAAAATAACCTATGCTTCTTTTATTAGGTGTTTGAAATGATCATTAATCCTGGAGATAATATCCTCCTAAATGAACCACTTTATCCAGGAACAATTCAAGCTGTGAGTATACATCGTTATAAAATGGAAACTTTTGTAGTATGTGCGAGAAAGCATGACACCTTTAGGATTGTCTGTCCACTGAAAAATAAAATATCATTTTTCATCTGTAAACAGGAGACTCTTAAATTACATATGTAAAATATGTTAAAATACACTCTCTGCTTCAGACATTTCTTCTTTAAAATGCAAATGTATAGGTACTAAAATTAGGTTTGCAAAATCATGTCCAGTTTTTAATATTTTACTTATAATGTGACTTAATTTACAAAAATATGTTGTCATTACCATCTTTTATTACCATATGCCTAAATATAACCATGTTATATGTCAATTTTCTATAACTCTAAACTCATATGGTGTAATTAGAAATTTCCATCAGTGTTACACCAGTGAGACTATAATATCCAGAGTGAGAAGGCTGGTCATCTGCCTCACTGCTGAGAATTAGGTTTGTTTGGGGTACTCAACTTTAGGATGTCTCTGTTCACAAACTGGAACATATACAGGGAAGTATAGTCAGAATTAGTAGGGAATTAGATGCTACTTGAGGAAACAACAAACTTCAGAGGTTTTTCTCAAAAAGACTCAACAGAGGCATGAGAATTGTCCTCAAATACAGACAATTAGATGTATCTGTCCATGTCCTTGTGTTGGCAGAACTAAAGGGTAGAAATTACAGGAAAACAATGTGAACTCAGAATAAGAACTTCCTGGCCATTGTTTTACCTGACTGCCTACAGAGATGTGATGGTTAATTTTGGTTAGACTGAGAAGCACCTAGGATATTACCAAAGCATACTTCTTGGTGTGTCTGTCAGGGCATTTTCAGAGATTAACTGAGTGTGTGGCACCATCCCATTGGCTGGCAGCTGCAGGGAGAAAACCTGTGCTGCAGGCTTCTGCTTCCTGACCACCATGATGTGAGCATCTCTACTTCCCAGCATTCTCCCCACCATGGTGGACTGAAGCTTCTGAAACCAAATCTTTCTTGCCTTGTTTTGCTCAGGTATTTTGTCACAGCAACACAAAAGTAACTAATACAGGGGATAAAGCATTGCCTAATGGGATTGGACTTTGAGCACATGATAAAAGCGAGAGCACACAAGGGAGGGGTGAGGATAGGTAAGACACCTAAAAAATTAGCTAGCATTTATTGCCCTTAATGCAGAAAAACTAAAGCAAATACCTTAAAAGCAACTGAGGCCAATAGGAAAAGGGGAACAGGAACTAGAGAAAAGGTTAGATCAAAAAGAATTAACCTAGAAGGTAACACACACGCACAGGAAATCAATGTGAGTCAATGCCCTGTATAGCTATCCTTATCTCAACCAGCAAAAACCCTTGTTCCTTCCTATTATGCTTATACTCTCTCTACAACAAAATTAGAAATAAGGGCAAAATAGTTTCTGGGGGGAGAGGGAGGGGGCAAAGTGGGTGGTAAGGGAGGGGGTGGGGGCAGGGGGGAGAAATGACCCAAGCCTGTATGCACATATGAATAATAAAAGAAAAAAAAAAGCATTGCCTACTGCAGGTGTTCAAAGCTACCTGCTTAATGAACAAGTTCTAAAACTATTAAGAAAATTGGGTCAGAAGAGGGTAGGTCAGGCAATGAATGACTCTAATATTTCAGTGGCTTGCAGCTTCAGAGGTTTATTCCTGTCGCATTACATATCTAACATACAACCAACTGCTATAGCATCTGCCTTCCAAGACCCAGGTTGACATAAGTAACCTCCATTTGAAACATCAGCAATCTTAGAGCTGAAGGAAAAGAGATATGGGAAACCATAACTGGACTTTTAAAGCTGCTAGTTGGAAGGAACACACACTACTTCTGCTTACAACTTACTGACCAGAGCAAGACAAATGACCAAGCCAAACATAAATGGGTCAAAGAAGTATAACCTTTCCCTTTGGGAAAGGACAAGAGATAATTGTTGAAGAATAATAAATTCAGAGGAACAATAGAATTACAATATGCAACCTCAACCCTCCGAAGCTTGGAGCTGAGTGCAGGTTTATTTGTTTAAGGGTATAAATAGTAGCATCCTAGGTATTTATTTTTAAATGGCACTTATGTTTTGTATTCATCCCTGATTCTTGGGCTTTCATTTGTGTTCCACAGATGTTACCACTGGGTTGCAAAATTATTAATGTTCCCAGTGACGAAAATGGGATGATTCCAAGCTCCCTCAGAGAAATACTTTCCAAATGGAAACCAGAAGATTCAAAGGACCCCAATAAAAACACCCCCAAATTTCTTTATACTATTCCAAATGGCAACAACCCTACTGGCAACTCATTGACAAGTGATCGCAAGAAGGAAATCTATGAGGTACTTTATAAGAAAGTATTATCTGATTATTGTCCTGTTTCTTTTTACTTCTTAGAAGAGTAGAGTGTGAGTTCCCTTTCTTATTACCCTCTTGCCTTGAGGGAAGACACTTTTAAATATAAGGAGCTCATCTATGAGAGGGTCCTAATAAAGTTAGTCTCAATAAATCACTACATCCATTTGTTTATGAGATTTTTCTTTTCCCTTAATTGAAATAACATTCTTGTTTTGATGTTAAACTTCATAAGTTTAATACTTGACCCTGTTTCATTTTCATTCATTTTTGTTTGTATTTTTAATTTATCCATTCTGCTTCCTACTTTTTGCCATTTTTGGATTACAAAAGAATTATTTTTTAAAAGAAGCATGCTCCTCCTTTGTAAAAATCTCGCTTATGTACCTATGATGCCTAGCTACTCACTATAAACATTTTCAAAGTATCAAACACACACTGGCCTATGCAAAAACCTTCAAAGAATAAGAGAAATATGCCTTTTGTAAGTTCTCTTTTCTGTACCTGATTGTGCTCCCTGGCCTGTCTCTACAAATAGCTTTTTAAAGTAAATACCAGACACATGTTCAACTACATAGAACTCAATCATGTACAGTGTAATCACAAGCACGATTTCAACCAGTTCCTTTTACTTAAAAAATACAAAGTTTTCATATGTTCTCTCTTGAGTCCTCTGCTATAGTTACAGGTTCCCCTGAGACAGTCTCATCCAGTTCCATAGTAATAAATCCCATTCTGCATGTGAGGACTTCTACATTGCCCAGCCACACATCTTCCCTCATCTCCAGACGACTGTATCCAACTTTTTACATGATGTCTCCAAATAGATGTCTAACAGTATTTCAAGCTTAGCCTGGGCAAAACAGAACTGGTTTTCCCCAGACTACCTCAAACCTCTGATGTAGAACCCCTCTATGTCCTCCATCTCCATAAATAGTGTGTAACAACTACCCTTCATTTCCCTCTCCCTTCTCTCCAACTCCCTACCCACCATGTGCAGTCCATCCCTGTGGCGTCTACCACCAAGTTTATCCAAACCCATCCATTTTTCTCCACCACCATTCCTAGCCTCATCTAAGTCTCTGCTTGCCCTCACCAAACAATGACAACTTTCTTACTCACCCTTGCTGCATTTCACTATTGTCCTCAAACCAGCTGTTCTTTGCCTAGCAGCCAGTCATGGCCTCTGCTGCATGTAAACAGAAAGCCAGCCTCATGCTTCTCCTATTTACACTCTCCCAGTGGCTTCCCATTGCAGTGAAGGTCCAAATTCCTTTATCAGCCTTGCAAAGTTGTACGACATGTCAGTTCTTTTCTCAGGCCTTCTCTCTCATAATCCATCCTGCAACTCACTTGCTGTGGCCGCACTGGCCCTTTTTCTGTCCCTTAAACATGCCAAGCTTTTTGTTTGCTTTCACTCATCCATCAGGCAAGAATCTTCTTGCCTGTCATTTGCACAACAAACTTATTCCTGTCATTCTAAACTCTTTGTGTTGTCTGGTCAGGAAAGGCTTCCCAATGATTCAACCAGAATAACTACCCTGTTATTCTCCTAAATGGGTTCTTATTTAATGCTCTGCTTGGAGTTTAATTCCTCCCCCATCTAATGTTTTTTCCTTTCATTATCCATTGAAATGTGAGCTCCATGAGAACAAGAACTTTTAATGCTTTGTTCATTTCTATCTGCATGTCTAGGATAACAGGAACTCAGTAGCTTCATGAATGAATGAACAAATAAGTACAAAGAATTACGATTCCAAATGATTTTAATTTTAGAGCTCTTTTAAATAAATATATTAATTTTACCTTTTAGCTTGCAAGAAAATATGACTTCCTCATAATAGAAGATGATCCTTACTATTTTGTCCAGTTCAACAAGGTAAGTGATGATGTGAACTTATTTTACTATTAGAAGATAGAGTTGTTGTAAGTTACTCTACCACATTTGAGATGAGCTTAGCTACTGAGTCAGAGCTACCCACTTTTATACTGAAATTAAATGAATTAATATTAATTTGCTGCCACTTAAATTTTTTAGTCTTCCAATTTTATTATGGAATTAGTATTTTTCATTTTCAGTATTAATGTTCCTTCTAAAAATTAGTTACTTTCACAATAGTAGCTGATTTCCTATAGTATGCATTTTAGATAAACAGTAAGTCAGGCTGATAGTCTTGAACTCCAGATCCTAGTTCACAACTCTTTAAACATCATACCAGGACGTTAAGTGATTTTCATCTTGAGTGTCAATTTCAGTCTCACAAATCTGTTTGACTAGAATGATGCCCAAGAAAGATTGGGAAGCTCTGTCCAAGCTGAAAGACAAATATGGCTGGACTCAATTGATGTTGTCTATATGGATACAGAAGAAGATGTTACAGCCACATATTTGCCATCTTTGTCGTTTTTGCCCTGGATTTTATTTACAAAATAATATGCCTTTTTTTTAGATTCATCCTTATTGCATATGCATGCTACTTTTCATGACTTCTGTTTTTTAATAGACAGCAGTAGTGGTACAGTCTACCAATGTCTTATTCCTCAAAACCCAACCATTTATTTGCTCTCAGGGCTGCAGAGAACATATATATATAATATATACATAGATTCATCTCCTTCCTCCTTTTTATTTACTGAGAAGAAATAAAAATTCTTACTTTTTAATTTGCTTTGCTTTGCTTTGCTTTGTTTGGTTTGGTTTGGTTTGAGACAGGGTCTCCCCATGTAGCCCAGGCTATCCTCAAACTCCTGATTGCTGGAATTATAGACTATGCCACCATGACTGGCTGGAAATAAAAATTCTTGATTTCTCTGTATGGTTTGCCACAGTACCATTCTGCCCTACCCTCCCACTCATCATGACCATAAACCCTCTTTCTATTTTATCCCTACTTTTAAAGAAAATGTTGAAGTTCGTATTTCATATCAACTAAATTTCTCTTCTTCATTCTCATCTGTGCTTACCCTTCTAGTTGGTCCTATGGATCAGCATTCTCCCTAAGCAACCCTGGATGCTGCCGGCCCTCTTCATTTTGACCTTGTCCAAACTGTTTTTTCTTGCGTCCTTCCTCTAAATGTATTAATCACAGATTTCAACCCCTGCTGCAAGGAGATTTAAGGTTTCTCTAAATTCATAGTAGTAGCATCTTGAGCAACTAAGGAGGCTTTTGTGAGTGAGTTTGGCAGAAAAACCCTGAGGAGAGCCAGATACTAGTAATAAAAGAACAGTCATGCCACTTTCTTATTTCATAACAAAGGGTTGATACAAAGGTAAGAGGTACTCGTGCTGTTGTATTCTAAATCCATGCCTTCTCCACCCTGTACAAAGTAACCCTGCAATGACTCTCAGAATTCTCAAACTACCATTCTCTTCCCATTTTAAGCCCTGGGAACCAACATTTCTTTCTATGGACATTGATGGGCGTGTGATCAGAGCTGACTCCTTTTCAAAAATCCTCTCCTCTGGGTAAGACCCACATCCCTAACTTAAGACAAGCCTCAGAACCTTTTAGTCCAAACAGTTCTTCTCATTTAACATTTAACATGCTTGTATTCCACCTGCCTTAAAACACTAGAAGGATCATTAATAATAACATAGGCGTTTTCTCTCCTTATTCATCAAAGATGTTTGGCCATTAGTCTAAATTGTAGTGAGACTGGTAAGGATTTTGGTACTTATGTAAAAGAACCATTTGGAAATACTTAGTTGGACTTGCATTATTTTATAAATGTACATATAAATTGACATTTGTGTTTGAAGTAAGAGGTAGCTGTACTCGAATGCTTTGTCTAAATCCATCTGTCCCCAGGTCACCAATCTCTTCCTAATAAAATCAGCAACAGGATGTTGATTGTTAATGGAATTTTTTTTCTTTTTGTGTAGGTTGAGAGTAGGGTTTATAACTGGCCCAAAGCAATTGATAGAGAGAATCGTTTTACACTCACAAGTTTCAGTACTGAACCCCTGCACTTTCTCACAGGTAAGCCCACTTAAAACTATCAGATCAGAACAGAAAATAGATGTTGCCAAGTAAGATTAAGTTAAAGTGGCAAGGAGCAAAAATCACAATGCCGAATTTCTATTTCCAATAGACTGATTTAGAAGACCAGATAGTACCAATGTTTACCCTTTTAAAATTAGAATTGAATTAACCTATTGTCATGCAGCATAACCCAAACTCCCTAGGAAAATTCCAAAAACACTTTGTGAGGAACTGAACAAAATGGAACTGGATTTTGCAACTAATATTAACTTTAACTTGTCTTGGAACCTATAATGAGACTAAGAAAGCCAAACCTGTTTAGTAGTTCATTGTTTGCCTTCATTATACATGTGCCAGCCACTTCCAATTCAACTATGGTGTATTTTAAGAACTTTTGTAAATGTCACAATGTGCCCCCACCCCCCACACAACAATAACAATAATAAAAAAGATAGCAATTGGAGTGCATTTTAGTTAAAGTAAAATTAATCTGGAAGATTGAGAAGTTATTGGATTTAGAAATTGTTATAGTCTTGAGAATCAGACCTTAAGGATGGAATTTCTATGTAAGAACTCTAAATGAATACAACAGTTTGTATCTTATCAGATTCTTCTTTGATTTGTATATCCCATAACATGTAGTTGTCCCCATGTTTTACCAAGTTGGAGGACTTTTTATATCTATTATCAACAAAAACTTACTATTGTGGCATTTAGAGTCTCCATTTTAAATAGAAAATCTCTAAATATTTGAGATTGTCTACCATATGTTTCGGGAGCCAGGGTTATAGTTAAGTACCTAATTAGCAAGCACCTGGCCCTTGGTTTAATCCCCAGTACTGCCCAAAAAAAAAAAGAAAAGAAAGAAAGAAAGAAAAAGAGAATATTTTGCTAATATAGAGACATTATAGTCTGCTGACAAATAGCATAGATCTGGAGCTGGCCAATCTGTATTTGAATCCAAGCTCTGCAACTAGCTATTACATCAGGAAAATTAACCCTTGTGCTTTAATTTCCTTATCAGTAAAATAGAAATAACCTGGCTGATATTTAGGCTATTATAAAGATTCAATTAGCCAAATCTGCTAATATATTACAATAGTGCCTGGCATATAACAAGTACTACATAAATATTTGTTATTTTTACCACCATTGTTATGGTTACTAATTAATAATTATTTTAACTCACTGAATGGCACAAGCTAGGTTCGAGTTACGTCTTTTTGTAGTGGCTCATGTGTAATCAGGAAAGATTTGCTTCTATATTTGACAAACACAGACACTCTTAGGGAAGGAACCATGACATTGCTGTTGTCCAATCTCTTTTAGCTCATGATATCACAGCTTCTACACCAATGGGGAGAAGAAGGCTTCTGGGCTCACATAGACAGGTATTGAGTAATTTCTTAAAATGTTTATGAGCAAAATAGGAGCTCAGTAGACAAAGTACAGAGTATCTGGAGTACTGATTTATTGTTCGTCTTTCTTAATTATCCCAAGATAGACAATAGGAATCATCTGTTAGAAGTCAAAAGTCTATATTCTTTTTTGTAGCAGCACTTCACCTAGAAAGTCTTCTCAGGAGCATCCCAAGGGATGACCAGAAAGCAATGTTCATCACATCTGTGGTAATTGAACATTTCTACCAAGTTAGGATTTACTAATTTAAAGTTAGAATTCACTGATTTAAAGAATAAGCTACTCATACACATAAATACTTTAACAGTTAAATAATAAATTAACTGTGAGGGACACATGACACAGGAATTACCCCAAGTACAGATGAGTGAGAACACAGTTCTCCTAGTCAATATAATGCTGCAAGTTATGAATTACTTTGGTTAAGTGATCTCAGAGACCACTTAAAAATAAGACAAAACAAGGTATCCTTATTCCCAGACCAGTGATTCATCATTTCAATTGTATTTTCTTTGACTTTGAATGCTCTGCTCTGCAAATGACAATCATCTTTGGGACAACCAAACACAAAGAGCAATCCAGGTATTTCTTAGTTCCATACTGTATAAAGAAATGGATTTTCTGCTATATTAATTTCTATTCTTAGTCCCCAATAAAGGATAAAACATAATGCTAAAAAGCTTAGAAAAGTCACAAAAATATGTTCCATTCTCTTAAGCATTCAATTTAATAAAGATAGAAAACAACTGGGTGTAGTGGCCACACCTGTAATTCCAGCTACTTGGGAGGCAGAGGTAGGAGGATCAAGTTCAAAGCCAGTCCAGTCAAAGTTAGTGAGACCCTATCTTAAAAGCAAAATTTTAAAAAGGCTCAAGTGGAAGTCTCTGGGTTCCATTCTTAGTACCTCAAAAAAAAACAAAAAAGGAAAGAAAAGAAAGAATAAAAGATAGAAAATAAATTTGTATAGCCTGAACTCCAGAGCCTTTTCTGTTTCTGCAGCCAATGTACTTAACAAATCCATGTCCTGTTTTCTTCTTCTAGAGTTGTTGGTTTCTACAAGAGCCAGAGGGATGCAGTACTGGCCGCTGCAGACAAGTGGTTACATGGTGAGTAGAGTACATCTGTCCTCAGGATAAACAATAGCATCTGTGTGAGTGGATGACAAATCCCACATATTGTTAGCAATCTTGGTGAGAAAGACAAAAACATCCAGGACTGCCCTTCCCAAGGAATCAGTGCCCTACAAATAACTTCACAAGGAACATCCTACAAACCCTTGCGAAGTTCACCTATCTCTACCCATCTGCTGCAGGAATGTATGGCTCTAAAAAAATGATTAGCCTAGAATCAACCAACAATAACTAAAAGCTAAATAACATGCATCTTTAAAAATTTTAGTTATTTAACATTTCCCCCCAAACAATACACTCCACATTTAACTAAACTGTATAAAGACAAATACACCGTGGAAGACAGATCTGTCATTTAAAATTCTGTCTTCTAGTTAATAATTTCATTTTTCTAATATTATCTATTCCTAATTCAAGTGCAGAGTATGTTAGAATTATTTTTAATTATGGAAGAACAACAAATGAATTACATGGCTTTAATTATATCATTAAAATGTCTGATACAAAGAATAATAAACCAAAAATATCAATTCCTTATTTCTGTCATATCTTAATCCCTACAAAATCTTGGTTCCAAAAAAACAGAACTTTATCTGCCTTGATAAAAATACCATTCTACTACTATACACAGTGGTGCAGAAGAAAAAGTTTTAACTAATAGCCAATTTTTTTAAAGATAGTAATTAAAATCAAAATAATTATCCTTTCTCCTGGTTTCTCTAGCCATCAATGAAACATAAAACTTACAAATGCTGAAATTCTTGAATTTTAAGCACTTCTTTTCATAGTTAATTACATTTTAATTAAAACTAATCCATTGGATTCATAAACTATTACATAAATGATAGAATTTATTGAAGCACCAGAAAACTCCTGAGTTTGAGCAATCCAGATTTAAAATTGAAACAACCACATTTGTCTTAGCTGTGGGGCTAACTATGTGAAGGAGAGACTTGCTGGGCTTGGTGAGCTCAGCTGTTATCCCAGCACTTGGGAGGCTGCGACAGGAGAATTGTAAGTTCAAGGCCAATTTGAGCTACATAGCAAGATCCTGTCTCAAAAAAAATAAAGGGACAGAGAGAATGAGAGAGACTCCCCAAAGACTGACTTCTCCCTAAACAAGCTATTGTCTCCTTCCCCACCTCTTTCGCCAGCACTGATTGACTTTGAAATATGTGCCCAGAACATCAATTTTCCGGGTACATAAAATTACATTTTTCAATGCTATCACTGAAGTACTAGTTTATAATCATTGTATACATGTCATGGAACAGTAGTGAAGTCATCAGAAATATCTTCAGAAGGTATTTATTCTCTTCTTCTGTCTGTAGGCTTGGCAGAATGGCATGTCCCCAAGGCTGGAATGTTTTTATGGATTAAAATTAAAGGCATTCCTGACGTAAAACAATTGATTGAAGAAAAAGCCATTAAGAAAGAGGTAAAACTAAGAAGTGGGTGGAAAGGGAGGTCTAAAGAAAAGCTATTGCCTTTTCTTTAATGAAATGTTTATTTGAATAAAAATGAAGATTTGTATTGCCTATCACCCCAACTTACAATGTTTGAATATTAGGCATGTTGTCTCATTATTAAATTATAATAGATTTTTAGGTTTTATATAGTTATTTATCCAGTCTAAATTAATGGAAATATAATCATTCATCTCAGTGAATGATTAAGTTAGTGCCTAAGAGCAGTCTCTTAAGCCTCACTCCTTAGGGTTTAATTCCGTTCTACCCCTTACTGGACATATATCTTGGGGTAACTTACCCCCACCCCGTGCTTAGCTGTAAAATAGGGACAGTAAAAATCCCTCCCTCATGATTATTAAATTAGTCATATGTGTCAAGCACTCAGACTAATTCCTGTCACGTGGTAAGTGCTCAATAATTATTGGCCATTCGTATTTTTTTCCTCATTATGAAAGCAAAGTATACTCACAGCAGGATATTTGGAAAATACATAAAAGTATAATGAAAATTTTTAAATAGCCCTTCATTTCACCACCCAGTTTTTGTGGACCATCTGTGTTGTATTTTCTAGAAGAGCTTGTACATGTTCTAGCATTTTGGCTCTGCAGTTATTTTGCATGGCTAAAATTACACAAAAAGTTTGTATCCTGATTTTTTTTTCCACTTAAAATGAGCTCATATAAATTTTTTTTCTCCTTCTATATTTAAATATAAGCCTACTTGGATTTCATTTGTGGGCATTAATTAAGCTGAAATTTCTAAATGAAAATTTTCTATGTAGCTAAAACACTTTACCAAGTAAATTATCCTTTCCCTATTAATTAATTCCACTACATTTGTCCATCAGTCTTGGTAAACACTGAGATCTGTTCCTAGAATTGCTTTTGCCTTGAGGCAATAAATATAAAAGAGCAGAGTGGGTTGACAAGGACAAGGTGTCCTGTTGGTGCATGAGGCAAACCTGTCAAGGTTAGATGGAGATGCTGACTACACCAAGCCTTTATGGCCTCTGACCATCTCACTCGAGGACAGGACTTGGCTTCTTTCATCATCCTAACCCTACAAGCAGCATGTAGTTTGTAATATACATCCAACTGACTTGTTTAAAATAAATGCACTTTAAGGCAATAAATCGAGTTGGTTTTTCTTTCTTTGCTTTCCATTATCATCAAAACTTTTGGTGACTATTTTTTACATCTCTGAGCAAAGTGCTAAGTCTGTAGACTTGATATTTTACTGTATATTTTTTATCCCCATCATTTATTCCATATATCTTGCTGCATGTTCCTTTACTTTTCCTAAATAACCTCCAACTTCATCACCACTGCCTTAGCCAAAATTTTGAACATCTTGCAAAGAGATTATTACTACTTCCTCCTTCTCTTATAGGTCCTTGCTTCTAGTCCAACCCCAAACTGTCACATTATATTGAGAGAAATGATACCTTTCATATTTTGCTATTCAGGACAAAGATATCCATCCTCTGCTTTCAAATCTTCTCCCAAATCATTTCATTCCCAACCCATCTTGTTTTTGCAGACAGAACCCACAGTTATGCCATGGAGCAAGCAACTAACTTAATATCTTTGAACATCATGATTGTACTAGTTAATGCAAATTGCTGTGAAAGATAAACTCCAAAATCTCAGAGACTTAATACAATAGAAACTTATTTCTGACTCACAAAAAATTCAAAAACATAGAAGGAGGGATAAGAAAAAGTAATAGAGGATGTGAATTTCATCAAAGTACATTATGTGTCTGTGTATATGTGTAAATATTTCAGTGAAACCTCTTTTTCACAATTAATTTAGCCTAATAAGAAAATTCAAGACCATAACCTGCAGCCAACTGTGCTCTGACAGTGATTCAGAGACCCTGGTTCTTCCATCTTTATGCTCCCCAGTCTTCACATGAATTCCAAGATTGCTGTGAAATAGAAAGAGGATGGTGGATCATGTATTCCCATGTATTTTTATGGGCCAGGCCTAGAAGTAGCACTTCATGACTTTGGCTCATATGCATTAGTTAAGATTTGCTTTTGTGGCCACACATAACTAGAAAGAGATTATGGGTGCTAGAGGTATTGTTCAGGGAGAGTGTGTGCTTAGAATGCATGAGGTCCTGAGTTCAATCTCCAGCAAAGAGATGAAAAGAGAGGAGAGGAGAGGAGGGGAAGAAAGAGAGAGAGGGAAGAAGGGAGGGAGGAATGGAGGAAGGGAGGGAGGAAGGGAAAAAGGAAGGGAGGAAGGAAGGGGTTAGGAAGTAAAGTATATCTGATGCCCAGAAAGAAGAGGTAATTCAGTGTCTGGTCAATGAGCTTTCCTGCCACAGTGGTCATCAAGAAGAGCAATTAGTTGTTCCCCCACTCCAGCTTGACACATTGAATTAACATTCATTCCTTCATTTCATGTAATAAAATGTTTGCCTCCTTTCCCATCTCAGGACCTTTGTGCTCCATATCTTCCCCCTAAAATACTGTTCCTCTCTTGTTTGCTAGGCCAACACTTATTTTTCAGGTCCCAACTTAAAAACCACTGTCAAATTTGATAACTTAGAATGGTATGATTGTTTAAATTTATATTACTTTTCTAGTTAAGGTTAGACATTTAGCCATATTTAATACTGCTTGTTTTTTAATAAACTGTATCTTGTATAGCTTGAATTAAAATTCAGTTTTCATGTATTGTTCTCCAATTCTGAACTTCATCTGGTTTTTGTTAGTTTTTGTTGTTTGGGTTTGTTTGGGGTTTTTTTGTTTTGTTTTGTTTTTTTGGTGGGACAATTGTTTTGCAGTATTGGGAATTAAACTGAGCCTTGTGTTTGCTAAGCAAGTGCTGTACCACTTCTGTGCACTCTTCATATATGGAGAAGAAATAGTACTTACCATATTTGTGGTAAACAGTTTTTCAGTTTCTATGCATTTAGTTTTGTTTTTTGTATGACATACACAATTTTCATATAAATTTTTTTCCTTTTGTGATTTCTTTAACTGCTGTTAAGCTTAAAACATCCCTGCCCACTCTGATATTAGGTCTGCCTATATTATCTTTTAGTTTTTTTCCTTAATTATAACATCACTGTTTTTCCACAACTTCTCACAGATCTTATTCGTGCCTGGAAGTGCTTTTTATGTCAACAGCTCAACTCCTAGCCCTTACTTCAGAGCTTGCTTCTCTTTAGTTTCTCCAGAACAGATGGAGATGGTGAGTACAATGTTCTCTTCAGAGTAATACTCCCTCTCGATTCTAGTGTTTGGTGCATGTTGCTTATATGTTAGAACACTATGTAATGTCTTCTTGGGTTTCCAGAAACCAGATATTGGTGGACCAGTTATGAACTCCTATTAAACTCCCCTGTTTACTTGACTGCTAGACTCCTGTAGACAAATGAGATTAGACTGGAGATAAAGTTTGTTTGTGAGTAATTTTTCTGAACATACTGAACAGTTCTGGGAGGTTACCTACATGTTATAGGGAAAATGTCTTCCATTAAATCAACCTGAATGGAAAGCACAAATCCAGGATAGCCATCATTCTCATTAGCAAGGGTCGAATAAAATATATTTTTAATTAATCACAGTTCAGCTTTAACCAAAATAATAAGCATCAAAGAAGCAATGTCCTAAGGACTGTGCCTCTGGAAAGCGAAGAAGAAGAGCTATCAATTGAACAGCGCCATTAACTTTCCTAGAATTTGCACTTACCCTGGGAGATGGACTTCTGGGTGTATTCTTTCTTTATTGGCTTTCTATATCATTAAATGTGCTTTTCATAATTCTCTTTCCTCCTATATGTGGATAGGGTAAAGAAGTTAAAAGTATATAGAATGCATTTGCAAGTGAGATTGTATGAGAATATAAAATAATTCGTGTTGTGAATAAAATAGGAAATTATGATCATGAGGACTATAAAGAATCAGAAAAATAATCCTAGAACTCTAATGTGCTTATATTAAAACATGAAGATGTTTTAGTCCAGGTAAAGTTCATGTCAGTCTTGACTTCTCATGGTCTGAGCTCAGCCTCAGATGAACACTCTGCTTGAATTTCCAAAATTATGAAAGACTTTTCCAAAGTAGCATCCACATTTAACCAATTCTTGTCTCTTTCCTCTTTTAGGTCTTCCAGAGATTAGCCGAACTTATAAAAGAATCATTATGAAGAAATCAAGCTCATCTTGGTACTCATGGATTTTTCAGATGAACTATTTCTATGTTTCAACAGAAAGAAGCAATCATTGATGTTAGAATTACAGATTGGATTCTGTCAAACATATCATATCTGTGTATCTGTAATAGTTTAACTATTAAAGTGTCTTCAAATCCATCAGGTTAGAATGCATTTATAATCCACTTACACCTTTGATTAATTTTCAACCTGCAAAAAATTATTTTTATCTGGAATTTTATTGTAAAGAATTCTAATGGCTTTATAATTTTCTTTGAAACTAGCATTTCGCACTAAATTATTTTCAAATTTTAAGGAAATAAAGGTTCAAAAAGGCATATAATATGTAATTTTCCTATTTTAGGGAAATTTAGTGAGTTCTTATTGCAAAAATTATTTTAATTTGACCATTACATGTGATTTTTTTAGTAAGAGTACCATGGTAATTGTGCTGTGCTACAACATCCCTTTAAAGTAAGATTCTGAAGCTGAAGATACCAAACAGCATCACACCTGTTAATTCTGGAAATAAGGGGAGATCATGGGCTTAGGAGACTTTACACTACATTTTCATGACACTACATAATTTACAAAAGCAGATTTTTTTTTTTTTGTTTTTTGGTGCTGGGATCGAACCCAGGGCCTCACGCATGCTAGGCAAGCGCTGTACCACTGAGCTACATCCCAGCCCACAAAAGCAGATTTTTATTCGTTACGTATCTAAAATCTATTAAGATCCTTTGAAACATTAGGGTATACTCTTTTAATGAGTTTTTTTCTCTCTTTTTAAAATCTTTATTTTCCCATCATTAATGTAGTATCTGGTCATCCTAAATTTTCAAACAATCCAGACAGCATAAGGAATAAGGTAAAAGCCAATCACTATCTCACCTCCATTGATAACTGCTATCCACACTTATCATTTCTCCTTTAAGACACTTTTCTATGCATACACGTGTAATATCTAAGAGAATGTGAGTTCATTGTGGCATCATATGATAAATGTCCTGTATTCCTTTTCTGCCACTGTTTAACAAGTTACCACAGTGTTTCAAGATCCAGTAATTACAAGTTTATAAGTTCCTTTGAGGAACTGGGAAGTTTGTATCATCCTATATGTGTATATGAACACCTCCATCATACTTATTATCTTCCTGGCATCTGGATGAGGTGTCACATCTTCCAATGGCCTGAGCAAGGGCTGCTGGAGTGACTTAGGCAGTAAAGAGTGCCTGTCCACCAAGCATGAGGCCCTGACTTTAAACCCCAGTACTGCCATAAATAAAGAAAACTCTCCTTATAAAACTCTTGAGCAAAACTCTCTACCTCAAAGGTCAAAACAGCTGCCCCCTGCCCATATTCTTATTTCTGAAGCAATTGGTGTTTTGAATTGGAGGCATTAACCCACAAACCAACATTTGCTCTGGTTTCTTGCTAGCACATACCACTTTTCTAAAACCATGGATTCTTCTACAAGGAAAAGAAGGGGAAGAAAAGAAAAATGCTAAGACTTTCATGATGGCAGAGACTCTTGATCCATGATCTTCAGAAAGCTGCCATCATCTAGGATGCTATCCACTTGCTTCTGGGAAAAAAAATTCTCTATTCACCTTCACCTTATAGTCATTAGCAGATGTAGCATGGGCTTTCTGGGAAGTATTTCATGTTTTCTAGTGAGAATGGATCTGATTACCATTGAAGTCAGTAGCATTAACTTTGGCCAAGTCAATCCAATTGAGTCAGTTAACTTTCCAGTTTCAGTTTTTAAATGTCATTTGTCCTTTCAGCTGCTCCAAAAGACTGAGAATGAGAGACAATAAAAATGTCACTGTGCTCATAACATCTTACTGAACTGCTTAGTAATTTGTCTAGTACAATGAATTCCTCCATCTGGAGATTTCTCCAGGGATGCTCCATAAAGAAAACACCTTTCTTAATAAATGTTAGCTACCATGATTGCATTAGCTTTCCTACATGGGAAAGCTTCTGTGTAACCAGAAAGCATGCTGACTGTTAGCACAACAAACTGATACCCCATTAAGAGTAGCAACTGAATGAAGTCCATCTATAAATGTTCAAGTTGTTCATCAGATAGTAGAAATATACTACCTGACATTTTGATTGTCTTTCCAGTATTATGAGTTTAGCAAAAACAAACTCATAAACTATAAACCATATTACCAATTTTAGAACAATTTGGATCATGTCATCTATTCGATGAGGATTTGTGGAATGCAGAACTTTTAACAATGAAAACTTCAAGAACTAGAGCAGAACCAAGCAGTTGTCTGAGCCCTCTATGAGTTCATGTTTAATGTTGAACTTACATCCTTTCTAATGTCAATTTTGTTTTTCCAAAATCGGGTGCATTGTATTGTTGATTACATTGGTTATCTAGGGGAGATACTTTGATCTATCTTATAGAGCTCATTCAAATTACGTATTCTTACAGTTTCAGCACTGGCTGATTTAGTATAAAAACCCTCAAGGGCATTTTCTTAGTATTCAGGATCAGTTTTACAGATAAGGACTTCTATCTTAATGATGACAATTTGTGATAGCAACATGACAGCAGAAAGCAGCTCATCTACTTGGAACTGTTTTGTTTTTCTTTTTAAGGGTCCCACTAGAAGTGAGAAACTTGCCAAAATTGTGGACTATTCCAAGCACATAGACTATTTGTATAAACATTTGTTGGTTATCTTTTGCTTTCAGATAAGAACTCTGAAGTTTGAGCTAACCTCCACAGGAAAGAGCTCCCTTTTCTACTGACTCATCTTGGCTGTAATAGCAAACCCTAGCTGATATTTTACTTCTGAGTTTTTGGCATAAGATCCATCAACAGTTAACCAGGATTAGGCAATGGAGAGTCTCACAAGTCAACACGAGCAGCCACTATTTCTGATCCTAGACTAATGCAACTGTGGTCTTTACAGTCATGAGGTACAGTAGGAGAGGAGCAGGGTTAAGTAAGCTACAACATTGCAGATGGACATTAGAAAGGAAAGGAGAAGAATTTCATGAATTGGTATTCTACATGCTGGAAAATGCTGAATGTAGTACACTTTCCACTGTGGAGGACTTACTAATAAAGTTCATTTTCTAAAACCAGCTCAGATGAAACCCTTTTAATCTCCTTCCAAACATTCAGGATATGCTTCAGTCCTGAGTCTAATTGCAAGCTATGTTTCCCCCCTTTTCTTGGGTAAGAACTCCAAATGTGTGTTTGTTGTACTCATGAACAAAAGACAAAAGATTTAGCATAATTCAAAATTTCAAGTGAGGTCCGTTGTAAGGCCAGTTTCATTTAGTGAAAGCCTGCTCATGACTGTCTTGCCAGGTTAAGGCTCTGAAACTGCATTTCTACTGAGTTCACAAAAGGTAAGGCCATTAGGGAAAAATTGGTGACCCAGGATCTGTAGTAAGCTGTAAGTCCAAGAAAACCTCTTAATTGCTTTTTGGTTGTAGGCCATGGAAACTGAATAATTTTTATCCTCTAGAATGAGAGGGAAATCCTTTCAGCAGTCAGATCATAGCCTAAGTAATGAAACTTTTCCCTTGAAAATGGAAGTTTTTGTAGATCAAAGACCTTAATATAAGGCCCAAAACTTTGAAACTACTGTAAGAAAGAGTAGGGAAGACATTGGAACATATAGATATAGGCAATAACTTCCTAAGTAGAACTCTGTTGGCTCAGCAATGAAGAGAAAGGACTGACAAATGGGACTGCATCAAACTAAAAACATTCTGAACAACAAAGGAAATAGTTACTAGACTAAAAGAGACAGCCCACAGAATGGGAGAAAACCTTTGCCAGCTATTCATCTGATAAAGGACTAATAACCAGAATCAAAACAAAGCTCAAAAAGCTAAACTCCCAAAGAACCAACAACCCAATAAAGAAAGTGGCACATGAATCGAGTAAGGACTTTTCAAAAGAAGAGGTACAAGTGGCCAAGAAATACATGGAGAAGTGATCAACTTCCCTGACCATAAAAGAAATGCAAATCAAAACTACACTGAGATTTTATCTGACCCCAGTTAGAATGGCTATCTTCAAGAACAAAAACAAGAACAAATGCTGGCGAGGATGTGGTGAAACAAGAACCCTTCTATACTGTTGGTGGGAATGTAAATGAGTACAACCATCCCAGAAAGCAGTATGGAAATTCCTTATAACTAAAAATATGATCCGTTAATACTGCCCCTGGGCATATACCCAAAGGAGTATAAGTCAAGACGCAATAGAGACACCTACATACCATGTTTATTGCAGTGCTATTTATAATAGCCAAGCTAAAGAAATAGCCCAGATGCCCTACAACTGTTGAACAGATTTAGACAATAATGGAGTACTACTCAGTCATTAAAAAGAATGAAATTGTATTATTTGCAAGTAAATAGATAGAACTGGAAGACATCATGTTAAGTGAAGTAAGCCAGGTTCAAAAAGACAAAGGCCACATGTATTCTCTCATAAGTGAAGATAATGTCAAAAGATAAATGGATACACAAAAATAAACATGATCATATACACATTTACATATAGAACATGTTTGTAACAGTGGAACTTCTCTATGGAACTTGGGAGGAGGGAATGAAAAGAGAGTCAACAATATTGAAATACATTGCATCTGTGCAGGTGGGGGACATAGCGATACATACTGAAAGCTGTTGAATTATAGGGGTGGGAGGGAAAGGGGTAAAGGAGAGTAACAGAAGGGGCTGAACTGACCAAAGTTAAGTACACTCGCATCTGAGCTACATTGAGAACTCCCACTGATCACTCACTTAAGAAATGAAAATGAAGACCAGACCTGTAGGGAGAGGGATACCTGTGGAAGGAGGGTTGAACTGAGGGTGAAGGAGAGGGAATATGGTTGGTGTATTTTATGTACATATACGAAATAGAACAACAAAACCTTTTGCAATTGGTTTTTAGGGGGAAAAGAGGAAGAGATGACAGGGCAAACCTAATGAATGTATAATGTAAG